AGAGCTGTCTAGGGCTGGTGTAGCTATTTATGATCTTGATTTTGATGCTATTCTCTCTGCTATGTATGCTGTGACTGGTAGTGATGAGGATGACTGTTACCGGTGTTTCCCGCCCGACCCGGGCATTGGTACTGCCGCGTCAGGTACTAGTGAGGCTGCTGCTCTAGGTGCCAGTGCGTCTGTGCTTTCAGGTACTGGTGAGTCCGCCCTCTCAAGTACTGTGTCGGCTTCGGCCTCTCACACCTTCACCCTTGACTCTGGAGCGTCTCGCTCCTTCTTTAGGGACCGCACCACTCTCACGCCGCTGAGTCGGCCTGTTGCGGTGTCCCTGGCGGACCCCTCTGGGGGGCCTGTCCTGTCTCGCTTCTCCACTGTCCTCCCGTGTCCGGCGGCCCCCTCTTGCACCCTGACTGGTCTCTACCTCCCCTCGTTCTCGACGAACTTGGTGAGTGGTGCTGACCTCCAGGATGCAGGTGTCCACCAGTTCACCCCTGCTCGTCAGCGGGTGACCCACTGTACGGAGGCGGATACAGGTCGCCACCTGGCTACGTTTACACGTCGGCCGGGGTCGAGCCTGTACACACTGACCACTGCTTCTCCTCCAGGTACTGCGTCTGGTAGGGCTCTTTCGTCTGGTCAGGTGTTTGCTGCAGCGTCCAGGTCTGGTCCTGAGTCTGCCCCTTGTTCGTGTCGTCGTCTGTCTCACGAGACCCTCCTCTGGCACCACCGCCTTGGCCACCCCTCTCTGCTTCGGCTCAGAGGCATGGCCTCGCGGGTCCTTGTGTCTGGTCTTCCCCGGTCCCTCCCTCCCCTTCCTCCGGGCCCTGGCCCTGCCTGTGTCCCCTGTGTCGAGGGGCGCCAGCGTGCTGCCCCTCACTCCTCCCAGTTTCCTCCGACAGAGGCCCCGTTGCAGACGCTTCACATGGACGTGTGGGGCCCAGCCCGCGTCCGTGGACAGGGTCAGGAGCGCTACTTCCTGCTGGTGGTTGACGACTACTCGCGTTACACCACAGTCTTCCCCTTGCGCTGCAAGGGTGAGGTCACTCAGGTGTTGATCGACTGGATCCGCGCAGCTCGTCTTCAGCTTCGGAGAAGCTTTGGCTCTGACTTCCCTGTCTTGCGTCTGCACTCGGACAGAGGCGGAGAGTTCTCCTCTGCCCTCCTGAGTGCCTACTGTCGTGTGCGAGGCATCCGTCAGACCTTCACGCTTCCGGACTCACCACAGCAGAATGGGATCGCTGAGCGCCGCATTGGCATGGTCATGGACGTCGCTCGTACGTCCATGATGCATGCGGCTGCTCCCCATTTTCTGTGGCCGTTTGCGGTCAGGTACGCTGCGCACCAGATCAACCTCCACCCCAGGGTCTCTCGACCGGAGACCTCCCCAGCTCTGTTGTGGACGGGGAAGGTTGGCGATGCGTCGGCGTTCCGGGTCTGGGGATCTCGGGCGTTTGTTCGCGACCTGTCTGCGGACAAGCTGTCCCCTCGTGCTTCTCCCTGCGTCTTCCTCGGGTTCCCCCCCGACGCCCCTGGGTGGCAGTTTTACCACCCCACCTCTCGACGTGTTCTGTCCTCCCAGGACGTCACGTTCGACGAGTCGGTACCCTACTACCGCCTCTTCCCCTACCGCACTCCGTCCCTCCCCCCACCCCCGCTCTTCTTGGTACCAGGTCCCCCCCCAGTAGTCCCCCTCCCCCCTCAGGGTACTGCCCCTTCAGGTGTGTCTCAGGTAGACGCGGTCGAGCCTGTCGAGGTCACTGGTGACTCTGGTGCTGCTGCGGGAGCTGAGCCTGGGGGTGCGGAGTCTAGGGGTGCTGAGCCTGGGGGTGTTGAGCCTGGGGGTGCGGAGTCTGGGGGTGCTGGGCCTGGGGGTGCTGAGCCTGGGGGTGCTGTGCCTGGGGGTGCTGAGCCTGGGGGTGCTGTGCCTGGGGGTACTGTGTCTGGGGGTACTGAGCCTGGGGGTGCTGAGCCTGGGGGTGCTGAGCCTGGAGGTGCCGAGCCTGGAGGTGCTGTGCCTGGGGGTGCTTCGTCTCGCCGGGAGCCGCTCTCTCCACAGGAGCTGCGTGAGTGGTTTGCCCGGCGCTGGAGGCGTGCCGCTGGTGCTGGTGGTTCTTCGGCTGCGGAGGGCGCTGCTGCCACGCGACCTGGCGGTGCTCGTCCTGTGGGTGCTGGAGCTGCTGGGTCTGAGGGTTCTCCTGGAGCTGGTCCTGCTGAGGACGTTGGCGCTGAGCCTGCGGTTGGTGGTCCGACTGACGGTGCTCCTGGTGCTGCTGCTGGAGGTTCTGGAGCTTCTGGTGGTTCTGCTGGAGGTGCTGCTGGAGTGGGTGCTCCGGCTGGAGCTGCTGGTTCTGTTCCTGCTGTTTCTGGCGTCGCCGCGCGGTCTCGACCGTACTTCGTTCCGCTCCTGGAGCAGGTTCTTGGTCTTGCTCCTCCTCCTCCTCCCTTAGAGGGTCCGCAGCCTGTCCGGTCACAGCCACAGCTAGAGCCTGCCTCCCCTTTGCCTGCTCCTTCTCGCTACGCTGGTCCGACTGGAGGCCTTACTGAGCGTCGTGAGCCTGCGTCTCGTCCTGCGTCGCCTGTTCGTACTGAGCGCGCTAGTGGTCGCGGGTCGCGTCAGCGTCCTCCTCCAGTCCCTGGCACGCACCGGATGTCACTGCGTCCGTCCACTGCTCCTCTGCGTGCCCCTTTGCCTTCTCCTCCTGCTTCCTCTCTTCCTGCTCTTGCCGACCCGGAGTCGGACTCTCTTCGTGCTGCCAGTCCTACTGTCACGCGTCTCCTTGCTACTGCTGTCACTGACCCTTCCTTCGAGTCGTCTGCTGCGTCTGCCCTTGTCACTGAGCTTGTCGACTTTGCTGCGCGCTGTCGTCTAGACTACGCTGCTCGTCTTGTCGCTGAGTCAGAGTCCGCCTGTCCTCCATCCGTCGGGGGTGAGTGTGCCCTTGGCACGGACGTCCTAGAGGACAGGCAGGAGGAGTTCCAGTGTCTAGCCGCTGCTTCACCTCGTCTCGCGTCTGTACTGCTAGCCCCTGAGGGAGACCCGGATGCACTAGACATCCCGACTCCGCGTTCTTACGCGGAGGCCGTAGAGGGTCCCTACTCCTCTCAGTGGCAGGCACCTATGGATGCAGAGATGGCTTCCTGGAAGTCCACAGGCACCTACGTTGACGCGGTTCCCCCTCCTGGGGCGAACATCGTCAGTGGCATGTGGATCTTCAGGGTGAAGCGGCCGCCGGGCTCGCCGCCTGTCTTCAAGGCGCGTTACGTGGCTCGTGGCTTCAGTCAGCGGCAGGGAGTTGACTACTTTCAGACCTTCTCTCCCACCCCGAAGATGACCACTCTTCGGGTGCTGCTGCACATAGCCGCTCAGCGCGACTACGAGCTACACTCTCTCGACTTCAGCACTGCGTTCCTGCAGGGTAGCCTGCACGAGGAGATCTGGCTGCGCCGTCCGCCTGGCTTCACTGGGACTTTCCCTCCTGGCACCCAGTGGAGCCTCCGACGGCCAGTCTACGGTCTCCGCCAGGCACCGCGTGAGTGGCACGACACACTGAGGACTACGCTTGCGGCTCTTGGGTTTGCTCCTTCTACTGCTGACCCGCCGCTGTTTCTTCGCACCGACACTTCCCTGCCGCCGTTCTACATCCTCGTGTACGTCGACGACTTGGTCTTTGCCACAGCGGACACTGCTGGACTAGCCTACGTGAAGTCCGAGCTGCTGAAGAGACACACGTGCACAGACCTGGGTGAACTGCGCAGCTACCTTGGCTTGCAGATCACTCGGGACAGAGCACGCCGCACCATTACCCTGACTCAGTCACACATGGTGCAGCAGGTCCTTCAGCGCTTCGGCTTCACGTACTCCTCGCCTCAGGCCACTCCTCTGCCTACTCGCCACTCACTCTCAGCTCTGCCTTCGGATGAGTCCGTAGAGTCGAGTGGTCCGTATGCAGAGCTTGTTGGCTGCCTCATGTACCTGATGACCTGCACACGACCTGACCTTGCATACCCTCTGAGCATCCTTGCACGCTATGTTGCTCCTGGGAGACACCGACCAGAGCACATGGCTGCAGCGAAGAGGGTATTGCGCTACCTGTGCAGTACGTCGGGCATGGGGCTAGTGCTTGGAGGGCGGAGTCCAGTGGTCCTTACTGGGCACGCAGACGCTTCTTGGGCTGACGACCAGGCTACGCAGCGGTCGTCACAGGGTTACACCTTCAGCCTTGGTTCCGGCTCTGTTTCGTGGCGGTCTACTCGTTCGTCTTCGGTTCTCGGCTCCAGTTGTGAGGCTGAGATCTACGCCGGGGCCATGGCTGCACAGGAGCTTCGCTGGCTCACCTACCTGCTGACTGACCTTGGAGAGCTGCCTCGTTCTCCTCCAGTGCTGTACGTAGACAACAAGGCCATGTTGGCCTTGTGTCGAGAGCAGCGCTTGGAGCACAGAACGAAGCACATTGCTCTCCGCTACTTCCTTGCTCGTGAGCTGCAGCAGCGTGGTCAGTTGCGACTTGCTTACGTGGCCTCTGAGGCCAACACTGCTGATGTGTTCACCAAGGCACTTGCGCCTTGCGACCATCAGCGCTTTTGTACCCAGCTGGGTCTTGTACCTGTCTTGCCTCACTTGCTCTCTTCTTGACTTTACTTGTACTTTGACATATATATACCTGCTCTTGCTTGTCTAGTTTTATATATATGTCTGTACTCCTGCATGTGAACTGGCCTCTGGCCTTGCTCTTGTGCTCGGACTGTGTGGTGACTTTGTGATCCACCCTGAGCTTGCTTTGCTTTGCTTGACTGGTCTTGTGACCCCTTGTTCTCCCCCACTTTGCCTATGGGGGTGTGTCAGATTATTATAGCTGATGCATGTTTGTAGGCTATAGTGGGGTAGCACATATGGGGTACAGTTTGCTAGGGTTGTATTTGTACCCAACTCTGACTTAGTCAATTCATTCCTGTTCATTCCTTTCACAATAGCTACTGTAGGCTATAGTGGGGTAGCACATATGGGGTACAGCTTTCTAGGGTTTGTACTTGTACCCAACTTTCCCTTAGTCATTTCATTCTTGTTCAGTTTCTCACAAAATGGGTCACTTCATACCGACCAACACCACAGCTACAGCTGAAGCAACTGCTCGCCTCTTCTTCGACCGCATCATCACCATCCACGGCATCCCCGCTACACTCATCTCAGACAGAGACCCAAAACTCACCAGTAAGTTCTGGAAGGAGCTCATGGGATTGTTGGGGACAAAGCTTGCAATGTCTTAAGCATACCACCCCCAGACTGACGGACAGACAGAGCGACTCAATCAAGTGGTTGAACAGTTACTACGCACAGCTTGCAAGGACGATGTCAGCCACTGGGACACACTGTTACCGACCCTAGAGTTCGCTTACAACAACGCATCACATGCGGCCACAGGGAAAACTCCTTTCTTCCTGTATTACGGACGGGAACCATTCACACCACAGCAGCCAACCACACCGGCACACGTCCAAGCAGCACATGACTTCGTCACCACCATGGAGCAGCTATGGGAGAAGACTCAGCGACGACTCACCACGATGCAGACCTCCCAGAAGCAGTATGCCGATCGTCAGCGACGAGATCACTCAGTAGCAGTCGGAGATCAGGTGCTTCTTGACACGCGCAACTTGAATCTGTCTCACCTCCCATCCAAACTCTGGCCTCGCTTCTGTGGTCCTTTTCTCGTTGAGGCACAGGTGACACCAGTTACATTCCGCTTGCGCTTACCAGATACATGGAAGCTTCACAACGCTTTCCATGTTCAGCTACTGAAGCCCTACAAGGACCCCAACCAACAGTTCCAGGGACGGCAGCTACCGCCACCACCACCGGTTCTTGTACAGGATGAACCAGAGTACGAAGTGGAGCGCGTTCTCACTCATCAGCGCCGCGGCGGCAAGACCCTCGAGTTCCCGATACGCTGGAAGGGATACGACCCTACTGAGGACAGTTGGGTTGCAGAAGCATATATGGGCAACGCACGCCGTGCTCTCAAGGACTATCTTGTCAAGCAGGGTGTATCTCACGCCACCCAGCTTTGAGGGGGGGACGTGTGAGTGTACGACGGCTTATGCCAGCTATGCTTGCTTGCCTTTACTTTATCATGCTATTTCTAGCATAGGATAATTATATGCATGCATGAATTGCTTGATTTCCTAGGCTAGGTGCTTTCCTATATTTTATTATAGTTATAGCACCGAGCTAGGTTGCGTGCACCGAATTCTGGCTTTTCGGTTGCCACCGAATTGCCTTCTACCGAATTCGGGAAGGATCTGTTCGGGACGCTTCGCGACCCACTGAACCTTCGCATAACACCTGGTTACTGGGCCTTGTGTCGAGCCTATATATAGCCTCCCGTTTTACCCAGTTGATCATTCAATTACAATTCTCTTTTTTGAGCTCGATCCTAGATCCTCACAGCAAGGGGGGCAAGGGCGCTGGAGGGGCTGGCGGGGGCAGTGGAGGTGGCGGTGGAGGCGGCGGAGGGAGTGGGGGTGGCGGTGGGAGTGGTGGCGGGGGTGGGGGCTTCGGTGGCGGCGGTGGAGGCGGAGGCGGCGGCGGCGGTGGCGGTGGGAGCGGAGGGGGAGGCGGTGGCGGCGGTGGCGGAGGTGGCGGCGGCGGAGGTGGAGCTGGTCCGGGTGGCTCTGCGCAGCGGGGCCGCTTCGGTGGTGGTCAGCGCCAGCAACAGCAGCGCACTCGTGAGACCCCGCCACCCCAGCAGCTTCGTGAGTGGTACGCTGCGCGTCAGCGGGGTGGGGGTGCTGGTCCTTGTGCCTACGTCTTGCGTACCGGCGACCGCACTGGTGAGCCGTGCGGTGGACCACACACCACCCAGCGCTGCTTCGGCCGCTTGACGGACGCTTGGCGTCTCCAGTTCCCTGACGCCACTGAGATCCCCCGCTGGGGCGAGCTGCTTAGGTCGGGGGTTGCTATCTTTGATCTGGATTATGATGAAATTCTTGCTGCCATATATGTTGTGTCTACTAGTGATGAGGGTGACTGTTACCTGTGTGTTCCGCCTGACCCGGGCATTGAGGCTGTTGCTCTAGGTGCTGGTGAGGCTGCTGCTCTAGGTGCTAGTGCGTCTGCTGCCCCAGGTGCTGGTGAGTCCGCTCTCTCAGGTACCACGTCGGTCAGGCCTTACACACCTTCACCCTTGACTCGGGTGCTTCCCGCTCCTTCTTTCGAGACCGCACCACGCTTACGCCGCTTAGTCGGCCAGTTACAGTCTCCCTGGCGGACTCCTCTGGGGGTCCTATGTCAGATTCAGAAACGAGAATCAATGACTAGAATGAGTGTTGGGTACAAATAGGTCAAACCTAACCCTAGAAATGTGTACCCACTATAGGCTAACCCACTGTAGCCTAAACAAGCACATCATACAATGTTTGACACACCCCCATAGGCAAAGTGGGGGAGAACAAGGGGTCACAAGACCAGTCAAAGCAAAACAAAGCTCAGGGTGGATCTCAAGGATACCACACAAGTTCCGAGCACAAGCAAGCGGTCACAAGACCAGTTCACATGCAGATTTATAAAAGAACAAGAGATACAGTAATCACAACCTAGCAAGAGTAAGCATGCAGGTATATATATGTAGAGATCACTGTACAAGCAAAGTCAAGAAGTGAGCAAATGAGGGACAGTAGGCACGAGGCCTAGAACAGTACAGAAGCGCTGATGGTCACAAGGCTGAAGCGCCTTGGTGAACACGTCAGCAGTGTTGGCCCGAGTGGCCACGTAACGCAGACAAAGCTGACCTCGCTGCTGCAGCTCTCGAGCAAGAAAGTAGCGCAGAGCAATGTGCTTCGTCCTGTGCTCCAGTCTGTGCTCCCCACACAAGGCAATGGTGGCCTTGTTGTCGACGTACAGCACTGGAGGAGAACGAGGCTGCTCTCCAAGGTCAGTCAGCAGGTAGGTGAGCCAGCAAAGCTCCTGGGCAGCCATGGCCGTGGCGTAGATCTCAGCCTCACAGCTGGAGCTGAGAACAGAAGAAGAGCGAGTAGAACGCCAAGAGACAGAGCCAGAGCCAAGACTAAAGGTGTAACCCTGGGACGACCGTTGAGTAGCCTGGTCGTCTGCCCAGGAAGCGTCTGAGTGCCCAGTGAGAAAAGGCCGGTCTCGCCCTCCAAGCACTAGCCCCATGCCCGACGTACTGCACAAGTAGCGCAACACCCTCTTAGCTGCATCCATGTGCTCCTTCCGGTGACGGCCGGGAGCGACATAGCGTGCTAAGATGCTGAGAGGGTATGCAAGGTCAGGTCGAGTGCAGGTCATCAGGTACATGAGGCAGCCCACAAGCTCTGGATACGGACCACTCGGCTCTACGGACTCATCCGAAGGCAGAGCTGAGAGCGAGTGTCCCGTAGGCAGAGGAGTGGACTGAGGCGAGGAGTACGTGAACCCGAAGCGCTGAAGGACCTGCTGCACCATGTGTGACTGAGTCAAGGTGATGGTGCGCCGTGCTCTGTCCCGGGTGATCCGCAAGCCAAGATAGCTTGTCAGTTCACCCAGGTCTGTGCACGTGTGTCTCTTCTGCAGCTCGGACTTCACGTGAGCGAGACCAACTGTGTCAGAAGTGGCAAAGACCAAGTCGTCGACGTACACAAGGATGTAGAACGGCGGCAGCGAGGGGTCGGTGCGTAGAAACAGCGACGGGTCAGCAGTAGAAGGAGCGAACCCAAGAGCCGCAAGTGTAGTCCTCAGTGTGTCGTGCCACTCACGTGGCGCCTGGCGGAGACCGTAGACTGGCCGCAGGAGGCTCCACTGGGTACCAGGAGGGAACGACCCAGTGAATCAAGGTGGGCGGCGCAGCCAGATCTCCTCGTGCAGGCTGCCCTGCAAGAAAGCTGTGCTGAAGTCTAGAGAGTGGAGCTCGTAGTCACGCTGAGCGGCGACGTGTAGCACAACCCGAAGAGTGGTCATCTTCGGGGTCAGGGAGAAGGTCTGGAAGAAGTCAACTCCCTCTCGCTGACTGAAGCCTCGTGCAACGTAACGCGCCTTGAAGACAGGCGGAGAGCCCGGCAGCCGCTTCACCCTGAAAATCCACATGCCACTGACGATGTTCGCCCCAGGTGGGGGAACCTCGTCGACGTAGGTGCCAGTGGACTTCCAGGAAGCCATCTCTGTGTCCATGGCTGACTGCCACTGAGAGGAGTAGGGACCGGCCATCGCCTCTGCGTAAGAGCGTGGGGTCGGGATGTCTGGTGCATCCGGGTCTCCCTCAGGGGCAACGAGCATGGACACGAGATGGGGCAAAGCAGCGGCAAGGCAACCAACCTCCTCCTGCCTGTCCTCAAGAACGTCCGTGCCAAGAGCACACTCACCCCCGACGGACGGAGGACAGACAGACTCAGACTCAGCAAAAAGACTCGCAGCGTAGTCTAGACGACACGCAGCTGCAAAGTCGACAAGCTCAGTGACTAAGGCAGACGCAGCAGCGGACTCAAAGGAAGGGTCAGTGACAACCGTAGCGAGGAGACGTGTGATAGTAGGACTGGCAGCGCGAAGGGTGTCTGACTCCGGGTCAGCAAGCGCAGGAAGAGAGGACGCAGGAGGCGACGGGAGAGCGACACGCTGCGGAGCAGTGGACTGACGAAGCGCCATCTGGTGAGTGCCTGGGACAGCAGGAGGACGCTGACGTTGGACACGACTAGCAGTGGTAGAAACACGAACAGGCGACGCTCGACGAGACGCAAGGGACACAGGACGTGAAGCAGGCTCACGTCTCTCAGCTAGACCTCCAGTCGGACCAGTGTACGGAGTAGGCACAGGGAGTGGGGAGGCAGTCGGTAACTGTGGCTGTGACTGGACAGACGGAGGACACTCTAAGGCGAGAGGAGGACACTGACTAAGAACCTGCTGAAGGAGCGGAACGAAGTACGGCCGTGGCCGTGCAGCAACTCTCGAACCAACAGAAGCTCCAGCGGCAGGGTCCTCAGCACCAGCAGAAGCTCCACCCTCCGGGTCCTCCACTCCAGCAGCAGCAGCAGCACCTCCAGCAGCAGCACCACCACCAGCAGCAGCACCTCCAGCACCAGGGTCCTCAGTACGAGCAGCACCTCCAGCAGCACCGCCAGCAGCAGCAACACCTCCAGCACCAGGGTCCGCAGCACCCGCAGCAGCGTCAACTCCGGGGACCCCAGCACCAGCAGCTCCACTCCGGAGACTGATGTGCCGAGCGTACCACTCTCGAAGCTGTGGGGAAGAGGGCGGCTCCCGCCGTGGTGGGGAAACACGAGTACCAACTCCAGTAGCACCACGAGCCCGAGACGCACCCCGCCGGAGGCTGCAGTACCGTGAGTACCACTCACGGAGCTGCTGCGAAGAGGGAGGTCCTCCAGGCGCCTCACAGTCAACTGCAACACAACCAGGCTCAGTACCCCCAGACTCAGCAACGCCAGGCTCAGTACCCTCAGACCCAGCACCCCCAGGCTCAGCACCCCCAGTCTCAGTACCTCCAGACTCAGCACCCCCAGGCTCAGCACCCCCAGTCTCAACACCCCCAGGCTCAGCACCCCCAGGCTCCGCCCGCTCAGGCTCCGCACGCTCAGGCTCCGCACGTTCAGGCTCAGCACCTCTAGCAGGACGCGAGTCGACAGCTACCTCGGCAGGCTCAACCGGGTCTACCTGAGAGACACCTGAGGGAGCGGCACCCTGAGGGGGGAGGGGGTCTACCACTGCAGCACCTGGCGCGAGGAAGAGAGGCGGGGGAGGGAGCGGGGCAGTGCGGTAGGGGAAGAGGCGGTAGAAGGGCACGGACTCGTTAAAAGTGACGTCCTGAGAGAGGAAGACGCGGTGCGAGGCGGGGTGGTAAAACTGCCAGCCAGACGCATCCGGGGCAAAGCCAAGAAAGACACAGGGAGCAGTGCGGGAGGAGAGCTTGTCCGCAGACGTGTCGCGAACAAAAGCTCGGGATCCCCAGACACGGAAGCGTGACGCATCGCCAACCTCCCCCGTCCACAGCAGTGTGGGCGAGGTCTCCGGAGCGGAGACACGGGGCCAGAGGTTGAGCTGATGCGAAGCGTACCGGACCGCAAACGGCCACAGAAAGTGGGGGGCAGCCGCGTGGACTAAGGAGGTACGAGCGACCTCCATGACCAAGCCAATGCGGCGCTCAGCAACCCCATTCTGCTGTGGAGAGGCCGGAAGCGTGAACGACTGGCGAATGCCGTGCTCAGCACAGTAGGCTGCCAAGAGGTCGGAGGAGAACTCGCCACCTCTGTCAGAGTGCAAGCGCAGGACAGGAAACTCCGAGCGAAAACGCTCTCGAAGCTGAAGACGCGCTCTGCTGATCCAAGGGATCAGGACATCAGGGACTTCACCCTTGGTGCGCAAGGGGAAGACCGTGGTGTAGCGCGAGTAGTCGTCAACGTCGATCAAGAAGTACCTCTCCTGGCCCTGACCACGGACGCGGGCTGGGCCCCACACGTCCATGTGGAGCGTCTGCAAAGGAGCAGTCGTCGGGGGGAACGAGGAGGAGTGAGGGGCAGCGCGCTGCCGCCCCTCGACACAGGGAAGACAAGGAGGAGCAAGGGAGGGTGGGAGGGGAGGGAGTACCCGAGGAAGACCAGAGACAAGGTACCGGGCGTGCATGCCCCGAAGGCGTTGCACTGACGGGTGACCAAGTCGGTGGTGCCAGAGGACAGTCTTGTGCGCTAGAGAGCGACACGAGCAGGGGGCAGACAGCTGACCTGACGCAGACGCAGACGCAGACGCCGCTACCTGAGGGGACTCAGTGGTCAGTGTGTACAGGTCCGACCCCGGCTGCCGAGTGAAGGTAGCCAGGTGACGGCCCGTCCGAGCACACGTGCAGTGTGTCACGCGCTCGTAGGCAGGGGTGAACTGGTGAACA